CAAATTCGCATGGGAATGGTACTACTTACCACTGAGCCATCCACACCAGCCCAATCAATCATTCGTCCAAATTTTCACAAAATTATTTTATTTTTTTGATTTCAGCAAAATTTTATTTTTTTTGTTGCAAATTCAGTTTGATGTCGAATCAATCCCTAATTATATGCTTGAAAATTCGGCAAACTTCAGACGATTTCAGAAAATTGCTCACCCATTCTGGGTCGGTAACGCTGTACTGAAACTCAACGAAACAGCAATTGTCATTAAAAGTAAATTCTGCATCGCGAAATCTTCGTCGGAAATAACTGATCTCCGATTCTCGAGCATCCCGCTGTGGCTGTTTTCCTATTTCACTTCTATTCAGCAAAATTACAGTTGGCCGAATTACGGATCTTGAAGATTTCGGGATCGGATCCGCCGTCTGAGAAGCGCTCGTAGGCTCAGCCCTATCGGTCTTGTCTTGGTCTGATTGCTGTACATGTAGAAAACGGCAGTGCTCGCCAAAATAGCAGGATTTTTCAGAAGCGAAATATCGACAAATTCGCCTTTTCAGAGGCTTCTGCACTGGCAGTTGCCGGTTTTCTTGCTCCTCTGCGTTTGCGGATGATTCTGGAATGATAGTTAAAGTTGAAAAAAAAAAAAAAAACGCTAAAATAGAAATTCAAATAGCTAAAAAAATATTAGGAAAAGAGGGGAACGTAAAATTTTTCTCAAAAAAAGCGGAAAAACGGAAAAATTGACCAAAAAAAGCAGAAAAATTTCGTCTGTTAAATTCAAATAATATGGATAGATTAATAATTGTGGAGTATCAAGAAAATGCTTGCTCGGTTGGTGAAAAAAGTTTTCACAATCCGTAAAGAGGCTACAAAACCGTAATGAAAGGGTGGAATAAAAATGAGTTAGCAAATCCAAAAACGAGGAAAAAAAAAACGCGAAATTTAGGCCAAAAAGGCACAAAGATTGAGTTCAAAAAGCATTGAAAGCACTAAAGGAAAAGCTAAACAACGCTTCAGAATTTAA